TCCATCCATCCATCCATCCATCCATCCATCCATCCATCCATCCATCCATCCATCCATCCATCCATCCATCGGGCAACCGGTTCCTCTGCAATTTGTGTAGAAAATCGTTAGCCCCATCTACTCGGGGCATCACAGAACGCACACGGGTTATTCAAGCGCGAGTTTTTAACAGCGAGGGTTTCGCAGCGTGCAGACGCGCAACTCCGGGTTTGTTTGCCTCGTGATTGCGCTCGGCTATTAGCGAATAGCGCATTAATTACATTTCTCAAATATAATCAGTCACTTCTAAGAAATTAATACAATTAATTATTGATGGCATGCGCGGCAGAAAACAATTAAGTACACGCGAAACAGCTTTTGCGAGATTAAGTTTTCCGCCGTGAAGTTTCTTAAAAGCTGAGCCACGCACTTATAAAGTTATTTAAAATAACATTGTACTGCACGCCAAAACATTCTCGCTACCACTATAAAACACACGTTATAAATCGAATTCTTCCTTGAATTTGTTCATGGCTCCAACCGCATATATAAATTAAATCCAACCACAGGCACGTTTTTATAAAAGAAAAAAAACTTAATTACACTCGTTCATATAGTTATAAAACACGCCCTTCGTGGCCGACAGACAAACGTAGGTAAAGATACAATTTGATAGGCAAGTGTAAAGAAAACTAAACCACGAATTAATTTAACAAGTGGGACAGCAAACAGCAAATGCACAATTGAAAAAATAATCTGGCTATTTTGTGACTGCAGAAGCGTGTGTAACATCTACGTGATACGTGGTATTATGCTGTTTACCTGATCAAAACTAGTATTTCTCATACGTAGGCGCGCATAAACGCATGGCCGCGTAATTTGAAACATATGCTCGCGTATCTGAAGAGAATATCATGAAGAAAGTGCTTTCTAAGTCTAATATCTATTCTCGCTGTCACTCTTAACAGTTCGTGAATGGGAAATGTGGAGCCTCAACTAGTGAACTCCGCCATAGGCACACATGCGATGCTGATTAAATCATAATTAAGTCACTTTGCATTAGTTTCTTTTTGAAAAATCCTGCGTGGTTGGATGTAAGGCTACTGCTTTGGGTCCGCTGGGAGCATGCAGTGTAAAAAAGACCAACCTATTCAACGCAGGCATGACGTAACAGAGGATAGTTTTTTAATTAAGACCGCATAATTTGAAATGCTTTTCGTGTTGTATATTTAATTATTACTTTATGGTCACTGGCAGACTTTGAACATTACTGCATTTCAATTTGAAGATTCCTCAGGTGTTGCGTCATAATATTCTGGCATCTTCATCATTATTTGATATAGCTCACAAAGCTAACGTGGCTAAAAACTCAACGCCAACATAATATACATATTACCGTATTTAAGTCAATTATGTATCAAACATGAAAACACCCACGGAAGTACTAAGTGTTACACGCGTGTTCTAATAGACTGAATCGAGTGAAACGCATAGATTCGTTCACATGGGGCATTATATAGCTCGTCTTTATTTACAAACAAACAGACACAAGTAAGCACGCACGCACGCACGCACGCACACACGTACACACACACCACACACTCACACACACACTCACACACACACACACACACACACACACACACACACACACACACACTACACACACACACGACACACGAGACAGACGACACACACACACA